AGCTTCCTCAAGCATTCTTTACGGCAAGAAATTCCAGCTTGGGGATAGTATCGAAGCCTTTTGTATTGTGCAAGTACACCCCTACTAGCCATTCATTCTTCTCATTTATATATGTTTCTACTTGTGTGATAAATTTTTCATTCTTTTCATTTGCTGTTTATTTATTTCCAGTTCTGCCCCTCCAGCAACCGAAGACCAATACATGCTGGAGAGCACAAGTAAAAGGGAGAGGAGTTGGGATAAAACTGTGCATATGACCAAGATCCTCCGTTCCTTATGAGGTAAGGTAGTAATCTTACCAAAATTGTTATCTATTAAATCTGAAAAAGTTGATTTTTACATGTTGGACTTTGAGCAAGTTCTTGAGATTCTTGATAGGTATTCTCATTGGCTACTTCAACATTTGCTGTATTATGTAGCCCTTGCTCAAAAGGTGTTTACAACTATTCTATTCTTGTGACTTCATTGTCTTTCATTACAGGTGTGTTGTTTGATGTGGGCATGGCCATGCTTGGTTCCTTGGACCGACCATCTTTTTAATTCTGCTTTAGTTGTAAATGGCCTGTCAAGGGAAGCCATGTTGAAACCACAAGTTTTGTTTGTTTTTTTTTTTTTTTTTTTTTTTTTTTTTTTTTTTTAACCAATTGGGTTTATGAACATTTTCATCACTGCTCTTTTACTGAACCATGAATTTGTAGTTATATGCCTTGGCACAGAGTATTAACTGCCAACTGTTGTTTCGTTTCTACCTTTTACGACACAAAGCATGTAACTGTTAAATTATATGGGATGAGTCTGTTCTGGAGCTTATGGAATGCTAAAAAGTTAATTTAGATGTTTGTTATGTATAGAGAAATGGTTACAAACTATGCATATTTACTCTTAATAGTATATTATATTTTACATATATGTACTAATTGCCCCATCTATATGTGGATGCATTGATCTATTCCTATGATATTAATTTACTAGTCTTTGAAAATTTAGATTTTATTGACTATGAATTTCCCACTGATGATGGAGTGTAGAAGCAACATGAGAAAGCCCTTGTTTTCCCTTTAGTACCTAAGGAGGACGAAATGGATGAAGAAGAGTTGGGGAAATTTGTAATAAAGTGTTTGTTTTTTCCTCATAAACGCCTATTTTATTCCTCATTGCTTGCTTAGCCTTTGAATGTAACTTTACTGCTAAAAATCCATTGATCTCTGTAATAGGTAGACGAGTAATGGAGCTCAAAGGTTATTCCAATAATTGAAAGCCATACAATATGCAATATTAATAGGCCAATACTTGAAGTAAATTCATTATAATATTTGTATTTGCAATTTAAATTTCATGGTTGATCTTATCAGATAGTCGGTATGCAGTATACTTTTGTTCGATGGAACTTATGATTACTTAGATCCATATGATAATGTTGCAACATGTTATTGATATGTAGTTGCAGTTTGATCTTCATTTGTGTTCTGGCTTTTAAGGAGCAAGCTGTGAATTACTCCTTAAATTAATATGTTTTGTGTTTCATGTTCACTTCTATCTATATAAATTTTTAGATGTAACACAAGTTTAACCTAGACTACTTCTAATGTTGCAAGTAGGAAGCATTAGTAATTAGCTAGTATGTGATTATTGGCACCACTGAGAATTACCAATTCAAGGAAATTAATTACAAGCAGTTGAAGTTTTTGAAGCATATCAAATTGTAGAAAGCAGAGATTTCATAAAGCAAACAGAAATTGATTTATTAAAGCAATTCAGGTTGTGCATGCAAATTAATTAAAGAGCAGCTCAAGTTTGCAAGCAAATTTTATTATAGCAGGAGACGTCGTTTTCGATCAGGAACATCTCAAATTAAAAAGGCAGCTAAGGATTAGCTATAATTATGGAAGGAGCTAAGGTTTGAGAACAATCTTTTATTATGGAAAAAAAAAAAAAAACAAATTTTCAAAGCTAATTTAGAGAAGAGCTAAGATTCAAGAACAATATTTATTATGAAAAGAGCTAATGTTTTCTGGCCTAAGGCTTGAATTAACGTTATCTGAATGCTATGAGCAGCTAATTATAGCAGCTAATGTCGCAACAACAACCAAAATTGAGAACTAAGATTGCATGAATTAATTAAGCAACTAAGGATTACAACAAGAGTCTGGAATACAAATGAAATATGCCTACTACTGATTAAATTTTTCTCACGAAATGTCAAAGCTAAGTGAAGACAAGTCTATAAAAAGTTTGTATTGACTAATCAAAAGCAAGAAAGGCTACAGAATTTGCTAACAAAGTTTGAATTTTGAGATTATCTCTTTCCAACAGACAAATTCTCAAAGACCTATATAAGGATGAAGATTTGAAGAAGTTGAAAAAGAGACGAGAATACAAGCGAACTACAAACAAGTGAAATTCGAGGGCATACATAGCAACAATCAGAATCTTCATCTAGGTGGTGGTAGCTAGTGGTCGTGTGGTAGCGGTGGTATTGGTGTTGGTGGCGGTGGTGGTGATGTTGTGGTGTAGTGGTGTTGGTGTTAGTGTTAGTGGTGGTAATAATAATAATAATGCGGAAACTATATATGTACTGTAGATTCATAATTTATGTAATGTAGATTCATAATTTCTAAACTGTATAGTTATCAAATTATAAAAACATAGTTATCAAATTATGAATCTGCAGTACAGAAATTATGAATGTGCAGTATAGAAATTATGAATCTACATTATAAATTTTATGAATCTATAATATAGAAATTATGAATCTACCGTACAGAAATTATAAATGTGCAGTATAGAAATTATGAATCTACATTATAAATTTTATAAAACTACAGTAGATTATGTATGATTTATATTGTATTGCTATTAAAATTATTTTATCCAATTAATTATGTTTTATATTTGGGAAAATGGCACTTTTTCCCCCTATGTTATATACTTATAGCACTTTTTTCCCCTCAATTATTTATGTAAGCACATTAGTCCCCTCAATTATTTTAAAAGTGGTAGTTTTTCCCCCTAATATATTAAATTGACATTTCTACCCTTAAAGTAAACATTTTATTTATTTTACTTCTCCAACAAATTATTGCGTATATGTAGCGATTACCACGGTTCGGTTCGAACTAAACCAGACACTATAGCAATCGAATTAAAAGCTTTCAGTTATGATTCAGATCTAGAACCCAATATTTGGATTTCAATTTATTAAATTTAAGAATAAAAAAAAATTGGATCATGAACCGGCGGTTCCGGATCCCGTTCGCGATTTTGAACTGTCTATATTTTAAAATTTATTTTTTTATTTTAAAATAGTTTAAATTCAACAATAAATGTATTTTATTTTTTCAGTTCGGAACATGAACCGGCCATTCCAGTTCGCGATTTTAATAAACTCTAAATATCGCGTTTTGATTATATATTGTAATTGGAATATTTTGGTTTGGTTACTATAGTATCTGGTTTGAACCAAATTATAGTAATAATTTATTGGAGAATAAAAATAAATGAATTATTTATTTTAAGGGTAAATATGTCTATTTAACATTTCAGGGGGAAAAAGAGTCACTTAAATAATTGAGGGGGAAAAAGTGCTATAAGTATATAACATAGGAGGAAAAAGTGCCATTTTCCCTTTATATTTTGTCATAAATATTTTTTTATCTCGTTTAAAAAATGTTTTAAAATGTTACCACATTCAACAATATTTATGGTTGAATGATTTAATGTGCCGTGACTTAAGAAGGTACCTGTTAAATAAAATTTATTTATCTTTTCTCATGATATTCTCCTTCTTTTATGATAAAAAAAAAAATCCAAACAAAAAAACTAATAGGTTTACTCAAAATTTAAAATTTAATTCAAAATCCAGATTTGTTCAAATAATTCTACTCCGTAATAGTTACCATCCCTAATTTTCTTAATTTAACCCCAATTAAGTAAGTGACCAAATAGCAAGCAAGTCCAAGTGTAATTAAAAATTGACGGCCAGAGTTTGTAGGACGGATGCTCCCAACAGTAGATGTGTTACACGTGTCCCGTTACTCCTTGCTCAGTACGAAATTTGAATGGGTAGTCAAAGGCGGGTGAAGAATTAGTCAAATTAACGTCCCTAAACTAATAACGAAAGTGTCTCTCACACTAATAATAATAAAATCCACAAAACGACGTAGCCCCACACCATGTGAGCCTGTGTGTCTACACCATACTCATTTTTAAAACCCCGCGGGTCCCACCCGTCGACCAGAGCCTCACAAACCATGGAAGCCTAGCCAATCACAACCCTCACACGTGCCAAATTTCAATCCTCCCTTTCTTTAATTAATTAATTAATATTAGTCCCGACTCAACTAACTGATTCAGTAAATAATATTAAGAAAATAATTAATTAAAATTAGACTAATAGTGTAATTATTGTAACTTTATTATCATATTTTTTAAAAAAATTATTATTTTATCTAATTAATATAGAAAAATAAATTTATAATTTTTATTTATTTCATTTTCTTCCTATATTAAAATCATAATGTTAATGGTCTTGTGGTCTAGTGACACGAAGTGACTCTTCTAAATGAGAGGTCATGAGCTAGACTGTTCGAGCATCAGTGGGGACAGTAATAGTAAAAAAAAAAAATCAGAATGAATAGCTATAATTGTAGTAAATTTTCGTGCGTATCTGATTCGGATAGCTAATACATATAAAAATAATTTTATTATATAAAATAATACAAATAGACTGATAAATATAGTGTTCTATAAATAAATTTAGGAAGAAATCTAGTATTACACTCAACATAAATATTGAAGACATGAGTTTACAGTATCATATAGGCAACGACAATGTTCTGGCGAGAAAATTTTGTCGAATACTACGTATCAAAAAAGGTAAAAAAAAAAAAAATTGCATTTTTTCAACTTTTCGTCATGCGCTCTTACAGGTTTCAGTAAATTTCCACTTTTATTATGGGAAACAAAATGAAAAATAATTAATTAATTCCTTTTGAAATGCGACGGAGCTTCAAATCTCTCTCTATCTCTCTCCCTGAGGACTCTGATACTCGAAACACATGTTCCCAATTTGAATCTAGAGAGAGAAACACGTTCAGGAGAGAGAAAATAATATCTCCAATCCGTTGCTTCAGTGAGCTGAAGCGATTGTCTCTGATCGGGGATTGATCCTTTTTGGAGTAGATACAACGGAGGAAAAAATGAATGCAGTGGGAAGGCAGAGATCCGGTGCGGCGGCGCATCATCAGCGGCAGTTCTCCGACAACTTCCTGGAGAATCCGTCCAACGACCGATGGCTACAGTCGGCCGGCCTTCAACATTTACAGTCTTCTTCTAGCAACTCCATTCCTCCGCTACAGGTAAGGACCAGTCACCAGTCGTGCATTTCTCTAATTTGATTTTTGAGATCTGGAGATAGATTATTATAGTTTGATAGTTTGATTTTCCTTTCGTTTGCTGTTATTGGAGTAGGATTTTGGGTACTATGGTGCAGCTCAGGGGTCGAGAGCGTATAGGGGTCCTCAGAGGACTTTCAACGGGGGAAGTGATAAGTTTTTGGAGCCGTCGACGCCGTCGGGCCAGTGGAAGAATGGGGACGAGCAGGTGTCGCCGAATGAGTTCAGTCCAGGACTGTTAGATCTACACTCCTTGGATACTGAGCTCCTCCCAGAGGTATAGCTCCTTAGATTTTGAAAAATATTTTGCGTTCTATTTATGGCTGGCTGCTGTTTTAGAAGTTTAATTTGATTGGCATTTTGAAGTTTAATCCATCGTTATGTTGTTCAAGCTTTCTTTTTTCATTTTTAAAGTATCTGGTGAGTCCGAACTATTTTAGAAAAATTTATTTTATAGCTTGTTTATTACTTCAGTTGATAAGGGCTTTCTTTTTTCTAATATGCTATTGAATATTGAGTTACTGAAGAATGAGATTAGGATTGTTGGAAAATTTTAGGGTTTCTACAATGAAATCTCAATACATCTATTGTTCTTTTCTTCTGATTATCCTACTTTTGAATAAGGGTACTTATAGTTTGGATGTGCAGAAGGGCTGTTAGATCCAGATACTTGACATGGAAAATATGTTTTAGAGAACAACATCGTGGTTTGGTTGTAATTAATCAGAGTGGATCATAAACTATTTTCCAATCCTAATGTTTCCATTCATGCTCTATCTGTCACCTAGTATCATATTTTATTATTAACAAACTCCATAACTCATATATAGTTGCATTTGTCTATGGATTTATGTTTTTTGTTTCTCATTTATTTGGTGTGGCATTAAATGTGTTTATATTTCACTTCCTGGCCAGTATGGTGCTCCTTCCATGAACCATTTTACTCGAGGCAAAAGCTGTGATGACTCAGATGCATACTTTACAAACAATAAACAAAGTAGTAAAGTTCGTGGCTTGCCCGAGAATAATGTTATGAAGAGCTTTGCTGCTGATAAGGAAAGGACTAGCAATGTTGCAAAGATCAAAGTAGTGGTATATTTCTTTCTTTCTTTTCTATGTATTCTTCATTATAGAACTTCATTCTTTGTTTTCTCCTTTTACTTTGTAGAGCTTTCTATGGAGTATGGACTCCCTCCATCCTATCAAATAAGCATCATTAAACCTTAACCATTACTTTTCATCATTTTCTTGATTGCTTAATGAGGTGTTTACCTTCTGAAAACTAGATGATTTCTTTTCTTGACATGGTTGTGAATGGATTAACTACATGCAGGTGCGAAAGAGACCACTAAACAAAAAAGAATTGATGAAGAATGAGGAAGACATAATAGAAACTCGTACCAACTCATTAATAGTTCATGAGACAAAGCTTAAGGTTTGTGCACCAGAAAATTTCTGATTGTGTTCTAGTAGTTTCTTGCTTTCTTTCTTATTTGTTAGGTTGATCCTGTATGCTTTTTTGGTTTTGAACAATTGAAATCTGAATTTTTTACATATACTGTGCAGGTTGACCTAACACAATATCTTGAGAAACATGAGTTTGTCTTTGATGCAGTGTTGAATGAGGAGGTTTCAAATGACGAGGTGATTACAGTACAGAATTTAGTGTTAGATACACAGACCTATTTTTGTGCTTCTGAACCCTTGTTATAATTTCTTTAGGTATATCGTGAAACTGTTGAGCCTATTGTTCCAATTATTTTCCAACGGACAAAAGCCACTTGCTTTGCATATGGGCAAACAGGTAACTTAGTATTTGACAGAACCCTGTTTCAATTAGTTTTTAATTGCTTGATCCTAATGTGTTAAATTGTTGTTTACTCTTCTTACCTTACTAATATGTATTTCTCTCTGATTCGATTAGTTTTTCCAAAATTAAGTAGTCTACTTTTCACACAAAGGGTCTGTTGAAATCAAAAGTCATTCATAAGTGCATTTTTTAATCCTTTACAAAAACCTGTCTGTAAGTGCAGTAATTATGAAATCAGCAGAATCCACTTTCAGGCTCTTCTTTACCCCCCAAAAAAAAAACACTGAAAAACATGATGTACTCCTGTCATTTTCACCAATTCATAATATGTTTTCATTTGTATTTGTATTTTTTTTTTAATGTTTATTAAGATCCTCAAAGTTTGTTTGTTTTTTGCAAAATCTTTCTTTTTCACTTTCTTTTGCTTTTGAATAGACACTGAATTTTAAATTGAGCTTTAGCTTGTCTTTGATTTTCTTCTTGTCTTATTTGAATCTTCTTCAGGAAGTGGCAAAACATATACAATGAAACCACTGCCCTTGAAGGCATCTAGGGATATCTTGAGGCTCATGCACTACACTTACCGGAATCAGGGCTTTCAATTGTTTGTCAGCTTCTTTGAGATTTATGGAGGAAAACTCTTTGACCTTCTTAATGATAGGAAGTAAGTGCTCTTGGCAAGTTCTATTAAGAAAATATTAGATATTAGATGTTGCAACCTTTTCATTTCATTCATGATAATGAAACTTCCTTCACAGAAAACTTTGCATGAGAGAAGATGGTAAGCAGCAAGTGTGTATTGTGGGCTTGCAAGAGTACAGGGTTTCAGATGTGGAGATGATCAAGGAACTTATTGAACGAGGAAGTGCAACAAGAAGTACAGGCACCACTGGTGCCAATGAGGAATCATCCCGATCACATGCTATACTTCAACTTTCTATTAAGAGGTCTGCAGACGGCAATGAATCCAAGCCTCCTCGACTAATTGGGAAGCTATCTTTTATTGACCTTGCTGGAAGTGAACGTGGTGCTGACACTACTGACAACGATAAGCAGACAAGGTATATATATATATCTACATATTTTCTGCTTATCCAGGTTCTCCTTTGAGATTCATAGCTACTGTGTGTATAATTACATAGATATTGCAATAATGGCTTTGCCAGGTTATCCTTCAATATAATAGCTACTGTGCACAGGATTACATTGAGATAGCAATGGTTCTGCTTTGAGGAGGGGGGTTCTCTAGAACCGACACCCAAAGATCAATATGAGACGTAGAGGTTTAGACATTATCAGGTTTGTCATTAGATGGGGGTAGCTACATAGGAGTATACATTTTATGTAGTGCATACACCTCAGTGCTGGTTAGGTAGAGTTGGGTTGAACATTGTACCTTCATTGGTGGGGTACCAGTAATGGGTATAAATTTTTGCATTCTTAGTGTCTTACCCAGTTAGCCACACCTCAACGCTATCACTAGTTGTAGCCAGTATTCACAAGTTGGGCAGAAAAATCATTCCTAACATAACATTTGCGTTAGCCGTTTGGTTGACAATATGAAATTACTGGTCACATTATGTATTGAGAATGCCCAGAACCAAATAGTTAGTTTTAGTGTAGGAGTTCATCTATTATCTTAACCTGCTATTGCTTCACGTGCTACTCTACATGCTGTTCATATTTCGTTTTTCATGAATGAGTATTTATATGTAATATTTCTTTCATTTTCTTGTTTGGATTTCTTATTCCACAGAATTGAAGGAGCTGAGATTAATAAAAGCTTGCTTGCGCTGAAGGAATGCATTAGAGCTCTTGACAATGATCAAGGCCATATACCTTTCAGAGGCAGTAAACTAACTGAGGTCCTTCGGGACTCATTTGTTGGAAACAGTAGAACTGTAATGATATCCTGCATTTCTCCAAATGCTGGATCCTGTGAACATACTTTGAACACATTGAGATATGCTGATCGGTAATCTCTCAACATTACACTTGAACTGTTGTGATATCTACCTACTAGGCTACTAGTTTCCTCCATTCTCTTTGGCCATTTTTTTATTTTTAAAATTTTCTCATTTCTGCAACCTATACAGGGTGAAGAGCCTTTCGAAAGGGGGCAATAACTCCAAGAAAGATGCTTTGTCTTCATCATTTAATCTGAGGGAGTCCACAACATTGCCCTTGTCTGCAGTCATGCCTTCTGTATCAACGTATGAAGATGACACAGGTGATTCATGGCCTGAGGACGAGGAACTCTATGAAAGAGAGAAGCCAATACCAAAAAAGAATGCAAAACTTGAAGCATTCAGTACTACCATTTCAGAAGATAAATTTAGGAAAGGCAATGACCAAACAAAGTGGAAGGAGCCACCTAGAACAGAGCCTAAGTACTCAACTGCAGATAATGATTTAAATGATCTGCTGAAGGTCAGCCTTTAATTTAACCTTGAAAACAAATCAATTTAAACTTCACAAGTATTTGACTGCAGATAATGATTTAATAATTGGTCCTGAAGGCCAGTCTATCATTAAACCTTGAAAACATATCAATTTAAGCATTTGGTGCCGACCTCTGTATGACTTTATATTTTATCTTTTCAGGAAGAGGAAGATCTTGTAAATGCTCACCGGAGACTAGTAGAAGACACTATGGACATTGTTAGAGAGGTTAGCAATGACATTTATTTGCTTATTATATCTCTTAATCACAGAATTATAAAATAGGAATAATGGCCATCACCACACATGAAAATGCAATTAGGCCATTGAACTCAAAAAAAAATACAATTGGGTCACTGAACAACGCAAAAGCATATAATTGAATCAAAAGTGACCTGTTTACCTGTTAGTTTGCTGACGTGGAGGTTATCATGTTAAAAAAAAATTAATAATTTTAAATAACAATTCTTTTTTAAAGAAGATTTCCACTGAAGAACCAGTATTGTCTCCGGCAGCCTGGAGACGAAGGGACCTCTAAGTCTCCGTCTTGGGATCTTCGTCTCCGGCAGCCTGGAGATGAAGTGGATTTTTTTTTAAATTTTGTTATTTAAAATTATTAAAATAAAATAATTTTTTTTTAATATGATAACTTCCACGTCAGCAAACTAATAGGTAAACAGGTCACTTTTGGTTCAATTGCATCTTTTTGCGTTGTTTAGAGACCCAATTGCATTTTTTAAAATTTTTTTTGAGTTCAATGGCCTATATTTTCATGTGTAGTTCGGTGACCCCCCTATTTGACCCTTATTCCTTATAAAATATTAGGGGAATCACTCACTTTTTTAGCTTTTAGTGTCACACTCCAACATTGGAATAGTTATTTATTTTAACTTGTCAAACTTTCCAAACTCATCAAAATTTTGAGCTTGCAAGTGATGTTAACCGGTATACTATTTGCTGGCAGTCATGTTTGTTTATCACTTCACAGATACAAAACACATTGCATTTTTCAAACTTTAGGCTTATGGATGTTTACAAATTTGGTCATGCTATGTTTCAGGAAATGAACCTCTTAGTTGAAGCAGATCAACCGGGGAATCAGCTAGACCATTATGTATCCCAACTGAATGCAATCCTTTCCCAAAAGGCTGCTGGCATTCTTAAATTGCAGAACCGTTTGGCTCAGTTTCAAAGACGTCTAAAGGAGCATGATGTCCTTGCGTCTTTGCAACACTGAAGCAGAATTGGGATGTAAAGTAAAACCATTGAAACACAATATTTGGCTTGCAAACGTGTGGTTAGAATGGTAGATGATTCATTGGTTTTGGAAAAATCCATAAATTGGTGTTTTTTTTAATGGTCTCGGCCTTTTTGGCTAAAGGCTTGCTGGACAATATACAATGTGTACTTTGATTCTTGTCATTATACGTCTGTTTTTTCAACAGAGCAAAATGTATCTGATGCCATATGAGAGCATAATTATTTTGCATTTGGAAATGTAAAACTAATTCAATCAAGTTTTAATTGGGTCTCGTTTGAAAAATAGCTCTCCTAAAGACATTAGCAACCTCTTGCCCTACATGCTTAAATGAACTCTTTTAATTTGAGCCAAACAGTTTTTTGTGATAATTTTCAACCTTTCAGGAGTATCAAAATATGGAATTGGTAATACTCAATGGAAAAAAGATATTAAAAAAAAATGAAAACTGAATTCCCAACAATCAGGTATTACAATGTGCCTACATTTTTCTTCCTCGATAGGCAATTTGCAAATCTTTTTTTTTTTTTTTAATGTAAATTCTTTTTTGAAGTACAAATCTAGACATCTAGTTTTGAATCTATGTAGTTTTTCTTCATTTAAAATTTTATGCACCTAAAAAATAGTTAACAAATTGCATAATATATTTAAATTTATTCAAACTATTACAATAATAATCTATAATATGTAAATTGAAGACTCCCATTATCCATATTATCCATTTTAAGTGTTTGATAATTAACTATACTTAATTCAAGTACTTTACAATTTAATTTTTGTAATATTAATTTAGTATTAATATATAAAATTTGAAAATTTTCTAAAGTGATGTTGGCATAAGTGCCAATAATATATGGTACTACTTGAAATCATTAGAGTAAGCTCAATGGTTTGAAGATTTTTTAAAATTAATTAAAATGAACAACTTTTCATAGCATTGAAAAAAATGAGAAGTTTTTCAAATTTGGCCAACTCTAGAAAAAACGTGCTTGAGTCTTTGACTGTACCTCAAACGCATTTTCAAATGTTTTTTTTTTTTGACAAATTTTTAATTGAAATTCTTCAAACACATTTGGCAAATGCATTTGTTGTTTTTTTTTAAAAAAAATAAATAAATAAATAAATGTTTTCAATAAATAAATAAAATTTGTCAAACTCTTTTGTAAAATGTATTTGAATATTTTTATATAAGAAAATTCTACTCAAATGTGTTATATCCTTGTGATTTTCGTACAATGCGTCATAAAAATACATTTCCACTAAAAAATAATGAAAAATTGTGAGGAAAAACTTGACTGAGGTTACTCTTAATAGTAATACTCGGTAATATATTATACAAATTACCAAATACTTTACAAATTGTTAATTATAGTAATACATGACTGTACTAGTGTTATTAAATACTAAAAAAAATCAATTAAAAAAATACTAAAAAGTACATGAAAAAAATGGAAACTATTTGATCAAAATATAAAGGCAAAATGACATTTCTCATTATTGAATTAGAGAAAAATATTACTTTCTATCATTTAATTATACTCGTCGACATTTTTTGTCATTTAATTACCTGAAAAATAAATTTTATTTTTCTAAAAAAATTTTGTTTGAACTGAATATAAAAAATCATATTGTAAACAATTGCTTTCTGTTTATATATATATTTTCTCAATCTACTAAGCTCAACAAGTCAATATCGTTTTTACTTGTAAACAATTAAGAGAAGAAATGATATGATAGTATAATTATAAGGTATGATAAATAGCATTTCTCTAAGAGAAGAATATTACCATTTTACCAAACATCAAAATAGTATGAAATCGAGGGAAACAGAATTTTGAAGGTAGACGGAAACATATTAAGAGGGAGGGATGAGCGATGGAGTATAAATTTATGATATCTTCCATTGTCGCCGGACTCATTCCGTTGTCCTCCTCTCCGACGAGCAAAAAATGACTTCCTCTAAAAAATCCGACGGGCAATCGCCTTCTTCTCCGGCACAGTTTGTTCACTACCAGTCCCTGCCATCGGAACCCCAACAACAACCCCAATACATCATTGTTTTACCACCTTACCCTCGCCCTCGTCCCATCTTCGACCGGAGCTGCCGGAACTTCCTCCTCTGCGTTTCCGTTATCGTTCTCCTCGCCGTCGCCGTGTTCTTCCTCTGGCCTTCCGGCCCCGATGTCTCCGTCGCCCGACTCAAGCTCCAGGGCTTCAAAATTCACTTGATTCCACTCTCCATCGACATAACCCTAGACCTCAGCGTTAAGGTCCGCAACCCTAACTTCTACTCCATCGACTATACATCGCTGGTTGTATGGATCGGCTACAGAGGAAAGCAGCTGGGGAACGTCACGTCGGATAAGGGACACCTCCAAGCCAGAGCCTCTTCGTACATCAACGCCACGCTTGAGCTCGAAGGCGTTGAGATCTTCAGCGATGTGCTTTCGATAATCGAGGACGTTTCCAAGGGTTCGATTACTTTCGATACGGTTACTCGGATTAATGGCCAACTCGATTTGCTCTTCTTTCATATTCCTCTCGAGGTAACTCTCTTCTTCTTCTTTTTTAAAGAAAAATAATAATCCTATGATTGATGACATTCCATGAATTAGTTTTTGAAGACTTACAAATATGAAATCCTTTCATGATCACATTTCAAATTGTATCTTCGATTTAATCTTTTCTACCTAACAATTTGGTTTTGTTGGCCTTTCTGTTATTATGGATTGACCTGAACTGGGTGCAATATGTGAGTACTTAGTTTGGGCAAGTGATCTTCAGAAGTTAATGGTGCACTTAGTTTTGTTTGCTATTTACACAAGCTATCACTTCTATGAATCTCTGATGATGAGAATGATTTAGATACTTTCAGTTCTGTATGAAAACCTGATATTTCTAGGGTTTGTGTGTCCGGGTGTTCATTTGTCTGTGCTAGCTCATGCTGCAATCAATCCTAAATTACCATAATTGGAAAGTAGAACTCTAGAAGACTAGAAGTGATTCAAATGAGATTCGAAGAATGGCAAAATTTGATGTTTGTTCATAGAAATATAGATCTAGCATGATAAAGGTGAGGACTGTGGAAAAGTCATTAGGATAGGAAGTTTCCCTCCCCTGTGGTTTGCTTGTCCTTATTAGCTCAGTGCATTTCATTGAAAAAGTGATATCTCGATTTGTCATGTCTTCAAGTTGGTATGTTTGTACTTAGTGTACATTGCACACTGAAACTATTTATGCAAATGGCACAAATGCACAATACTAGTCCTTGTCCTCTAGCCTCTAGTCTTTTATTCTGTGTTTTTAAAATCAAGCTTGTGGCTTTTCTATTAAATGTGCATAGATGCCACAATTCGTAACGGAGATCATATGAGATAGTGTCTTATTGCTTTGTCATTTTGTCATTACAGGGAAAGGTATCGTGTGAAATTGTTGTAGATACAAATAACCAAACAATTACCAGTCAAGATTGTTACCCTGAGGTAAAGTGCTTATTTTAGTTGCTATTTATCGTCTTTGTGTTTAGTGAGATGCCAAAAGGGCAAAAGGTGCAATGTATTTTGGCATAAAATCAAAGGACAAAGAATATAATTCCGAGTGATGCATAAGCATATGGTATAATGGCCTTGTGGGCCAATTTAAGACTGAACTGCATACAAGGGAATATGAATCATAAAACCTTTCTTTGCTGAATTGCTGGCCAATATTTTGTTGACAGTGTTCTTAACAGTGAGCTTAACTTTGTTGGACAGTAAAACCTTTCGAATGCAACCCTTTGGATGTAGAGGCGATGAAGAAGCCAACTGACTCGGGCATACTCGATCAATGTAGTTATGAAGTGTGCCACGCTGCCATGTCTGTCGAAAACATTTCGTTGATTGTAACATTGCAACATTATTAGTACGAGATATTTAGTACAGAAGAAGTCTGTTTATTCCTTCACATCTCCTCTCCTTTTTTGTGGGATACCACAAAACTGGTTTGGTATTAGCAACTCTACCTATATTGTACATAAATGATGTATTGAATTTATAATCTTTAATTTAAGATAAAAAAGCACCCATCATCTTCTCCATTAGCTATTACAACATCTATTCATATCTCTACATACAGTTTTTCTTGTATGTTCTGTTTGAGCTTTCCATCTACTTCGTTTTTGCTTGTGGAAAAGAAGAAACATAGAAATATGTTTCAACAACTACTCAACAAATGACTATTGGGGTTGTTCTTAGGGGGAAAATGACAACTTTCACACCCACCCTAGTTTTGGAAATGTTGTTATCAGATCTGAAGAGAACTGCAGGAAAATGTCGGGACAAGCGCTTACCACCCATGACCTGCTATGATCGCCATGTATCGAATGCACACTGACGTTGGACTTGACCCTTTAGGCCCCAACACAACAGAAGGCTGTGGATACCTATTGTTTTACTGATATATAGAGAAGAGCTGTTATGAATCTGCTCCTCTGTGTAGTGGGTTTTCTGCAGAAGCCAGTGTATAGAAAACTGAACAAGAACAGAAATCAAGAAATTTAGCACAAATATAACTATTACAACATTAATTTGTATTACTACTCATGCTATTTTAGGTAACACTGCAATTAATTCTTACAACATGTTAATTTTACATTGCCCTCCGAGGAGTAGTCCGAGCAGCAAATGCAATCCCAATTCGCATGTATGATACAGTAATGGCTAGCAGCCTACATACTACATTTCAACAATATCGGAGTGAGTTCAGATACATCAATTAACCACTCGCATTCTCAGCAGAACCGTTGTTCTCTTCGTAATCACCTTGCCGGATTTTAGCAATCTCGGCCTTAGCTCTCTCCAGAATCTGCCGCTTTTGTGCTTCCAATTCTCGGTGGAAGTCCATCCTCATTTTCTCCAATTCCAGCATTTGTTGCCTCTTGCTGTCCTCAATCTTCTCGTATATCTCGCTAAATTTATGAATAGAGTCCGCCAGTAATTTGAAGGAAGATCCTCCATCAGCTCCCCTTTTTCCCTTTTTAGTTCTTTTCGGTGGAAGACCCTCTGAATTGTCCTCTGCATCAGCAGATACCGAGATCCCTGGGCTATCCCTCATCTCATCCAATTCATTAGCTCGGCTTAGATGAGATTTAGGGTTTGTTAAGACATATTCTCCCGAGTCCAGGCCACAAGAAAGGCCTCCTTGCTGCTGGTTTGACGACGACAATAACAA